TGGCCATCACTCAGATCTGTATCGCCTGTTGTTGTGATGCCGAAGCACTCGCTGGCAATGACTCGAAGGCACTCCTCGAACACCCAATATTTGAGGGCGGCTTATGTCGGCTCTGCTATGACAACATACGGGTGACAATGTATGCGCCCGGAGCTGACCATAAAAATGTATTTATCATCATTACTTGCAATTTCTAGTTAATTATCAAATGCCATTTATTTGTAGTCTTTTTGTGCAATTTGTGGACAATTGGGAAAACTTGCAATTTGTGAGAACGAGATCTGTCACCGGTATTATACATTTGCTGTCTTTCTATTTTTGCAATTTTCTAATATTTGTTTTGTTTAGTGTTTATTGTTTGAAATGTATTGATTTGTTGGTTGGCAACGGTCTTCATTTGAAAGTAATTATTTTAGTTTTTGATTCATTATTTGATTTTAAAAAATAATTAAAACTATCCGAACAAAGATCTTGGAAATGGAGAAATGGGAGTGTTTTGTTTGTAAACCTAATTCACAAGAAATAGGACTTTTGAGAGTTCGCCCCAATTGGAGATTTAATGTCAAAATCCTTTTTGATCCGTTGGTCAATACATTGAAATCTCTGAACGCAATACAAGAATATTCTAATGAGAAAAAACAAATTAGAGTCTTATCACTGATGGACGGCATCTCTTCTGGTATTTTTCTATTAATCATAATTTGTTAAGTTTTATAGATTTTAATATTTGTTATGTTTGTAGCAAAACTAGCTCTTGAGAAGTTGGGTCTCAAAATAGATGCCTATTATTCTTCTGAATCGGACGCCAATGCCATCGAAATATCGAGAAATTATAATAAAAATAGCGTTTTATTTGTTGACTCTATTGAAAGCATTACACTTGAAAAGGTAGTCATCAAATGAATTGAAATTTTTGATTGAAATACAAATATCTATATATTTATAGATCGCAGCCATGAGTCCAATTGATTTAGTCTTAGGATCTCCTCCACCGGAATATTCTTCAAACGCTTCCGTTCGCAAAAGTCTTATTGGTTTGTCTATTGATTTAATCATTAGATTATGAGCTAATAATTTAATCTTCTTATGGATTGTATATAGAGAACAAAGGGAGCGGTCATTACTTCTTGTATTTCAATCATATTTTGCATTTAATTCGTCTGACAAACAAGAATCGGCACATTTTCTTCTTGTGTGAAAACTCTAATCCGTTGAGTAATTCTCAGAGAGATATCATTTCCAACTTATTTACGGTATTTATAGCTTATAAGGTATAAACATATTTGTTTTAACAAACAAGAATCGGCACATTTTCTTCTTGTGTGAAAACTCTAATCCGTTGAGTAATTCTCAGAGAGATATCATTTCCAACTTATTTACGGTATTTATAGCTTATAAGGTATAAACATATTTGTTTTATTACAATCAAAGTTTGTTTGATTTTTAGTGCAAACCCATTACATTATTTGCTAACAATTCGTCTCATAACCGGAACCGATATTATTGGAGTAACATTCCCGGCATTAAACGGTTTGCTATACTTTACATAATCATATATAAAAGCATCTGAATTAATGAATGTATGCTTTGATTGTCTCAATCAGACCACTGCCGCAAACAATTCAGGAAAAGTTGATTAGTTTGATAAACATTTTGACACAAAATATCGCCCTAAAGACCACTTCTGACTCCAACAAGAAGTCAATGCTAACCGATTCGGAGGACAAGAATTTCGAGCCCAAAGAGTTGGAGAAGTTGTTTGAATTGCCTGAAAACTACACTGACGTCAACTCATTGCCCGTAAACACCAGACAAAGCTTACTAACCCGGTGTTGGTGTGTGTCTATCCTCTCGCACCTGATCTAACAAACAAGAATCGGCACATTTTCTTCTTGTGTGAAAACTCTAATCCGTTGAGTAATTCTCAGAGAGATATCATTTCCAACTTATTTACGGTATTTATAGCTTATAAGGTATAAACATATTTGTTTTGTTACAATCAAAGTTTGTTTGATTTTCAGTGCAAACCCATTACATTATTTGCTAACAATTCGTCTCATAACCGGAACCGATATTATTGGAGTAACATTCCCGGCATTAAACGGTTTGCTATACTTTACATAATTATATATAAAAGCTTCTGAATTAATGAATGTATGCTTTGATTGTTTCAATCAGACCACTGCCGCAAACAATTCAAGAAAAGTTGATTAGTTTGATAAACATTTTGACACAAAATATCGCCCTAAAGACCACTTCTGACTCCAACAAGAAGTCAATGCTAACCGATTCGGAGGACAAGAATTTTGAACCCAAAGAGTTGGAGAAGTTGTTTGAATTGCCTGAAAACTACACTGACGTCAACTCATTGCCCGTAAACACCAGACAAAGCTTACTAACCCGGTGTTGGTGTGTGTCTATCCTCTCGCACCTGATCTGGTCATTGACTGATTTCTTCGTTACAATCGATCAAAAATCAAAATAATTTCAAATGTTTTTCATTATTAACACATATTATATTATATATACGTTCAATAGTAATATTGGTTATGCATTTGGGTCAATAACTAATAAACTGGTAAAGTTATCATGGTCAACATTTCATTCTGAACATGATTCCATAAACTGGATGAGTAGAAATGTTGACCATGTTAACTTTACCAGTGCATTAATTATCTAGAGCCATAACCATTATTACAGTCCCCAATAGTATACATATAACTTTATAAGATATCATTTGTTTTTAAAATCAAGTCCTAAACAAAGTTAACTAATTGTTAATAATTGAGTCAAATTAATGTATGTTTAAATTTCGTTGTTTTCTTTTTCTCATATATTTATTGTTTTTTCTTTTTCTTATAACTTGTCTTTAATTCTCTTATAAATGAATACATTTTAATCATTCGTTGTTTTATTAAACTTTTCTATAGTAATTGTGTACTGAAATAATTAAGTAATATATACAACAAAATTGAGAGATTATGAATTTAGTGTTGATTTGAATGTTAAAATTAAAATAAATAAATAACTAAACTATTGAGTGATCGATAGTCTTGATAGATCTGATGAGTGGCACAATTTATTTCAACAATAAATAAAACACAATTGTATTAATTGACAAAAACAAAACATTTAAAAACGAATAATTATACAAATGTTTAAATTAGTTAATTGTTAGAAAGGACTGACTTTTTATATTTATCTAATTTATAGATCATAAAAGCACACGAAGAGAATGAGACTACAATTAACCATAAAATACAACTCAAACCTGTGGCCAAGTGAGCCGCCGGCAGACACACCCCGTAAACTATATTATCCCTTCGGCCCGAATATATAGGCGCAGAATCAGTGGTGATGTTTGGGAAAAATGCCAAATCAACTGAAGTGACCACTTGGAAGCCTTTCTTCAGTCCGATCTCATTGGCCATTCCGTCCACCGATCGCCGCAACCGAAGAGAACGCGGACCAAATGGGAACTGCGATTGCGGTCCCCCTTTCACTCTGGGGTTCATAACAGAGTCCTTTCTTTTGTCCATTAAATTCAATAATTTTTGATTTGTTGAATGCAATGATTGGAAAGGATGTGAGATATGATGAAGTGCTTGCTTTAAAATATTGGGATGATTTGGATGCGAATTAGCCGTCAATGGCTTTTGAGCGCTCATTATTTGGTGTTTAAGTAATTCATTTGCTGGTATTTGAAGGAAAGGCATTCCCGGCTGAAGCGGAATGTCCAGAATCTGGGCCACAGGTGCTCCTGAGTTGCCGTTCATAGGGACCAGTGGTGGCGGTTTCTCCAGCGCTATCTTTTTATTAAATTGATTGCTATTTCTTATGTTTTCGTTATAAATGTTGAACGGAAAGCGATTGTATGGATGACTAACAATGGGTGGATTGGGCGGCAGTTCTTCATCCGAAGCCACATTGTTATAAAACAGATTAGTTGTCGATTGCGTTGACTCTGTATTGTATGGATTCAATGTCTGTTCGGTTGTGACAAAAGAGTTTTGAGTTACGCTTTGGTTTGTCTCTCGAGTCGAATGCCTTTCATTAACCGATTGAAGCGCTTCAGCGATCGGTTGCTCTTCAATACGATTCGTGAACTTTGAAACCAAATCTTTCATATTATTTGTCTGAATCAAAGACATGATATCCTTGTGCTGTAATCCCTGTGCAAAAGTTGCCGCCAAATTGCTGAAGTCTATATTCCCTTTGTTTAAGCCGTGATTTGATAGCAATTTATTTGCAATATTCAAGTCTTCTGGTCTTAAATTAGAGATTTTCAGATCAGACAGATTTGGGATTTTAAACTTTTGGTTGAAATGTTGATCTTTTTCATACACGTTAACGTCAGGCGCTTTATAGACGGGTTTGACTTCACTTTCGTGTGGAGACATTTGGTCCATAAAAGGCTCAAAGTTCTGATTAGACGGAAGCGCCTGATATTCATCGGCTGAGTCGTGGGTCGTCTCTTCCGAGTGATGGATCTGTTCATTGTTTTTGATGCTAAAAGAGTTTATTTCACTACTCATTGGCATTAATTGCATCGGCGGTGCATTAGAACCGTCAATATCTTGAAATATAGGCTGCGGTTCATCCTCTGGTTTGAAAGGTATCCGGAAGTCCTGTTCCGGCGTTTTTTGCTCAGGATTTATGTGATGAATATCAGCGGACACTTGAAGGGATGGATTGTTTGAATGCTGCGGACCTCCCACTTGACAGGCATCAGCACATCCATGTCTGCACACCTCAACAGTGCACTGGATCTGCACATCCATACTATCTGGGAATTTGAAGGCCAAAAATTGTGCGTAAGATATGAGAGTTGCCTTTCCCTTAGAGTCGCGAATCTTCTTAAAGGGTGACAACATTTTGGGCCTCAAAACACATCCGTATTCGTCGGTTAAATGAATGGCAGGTTTGACGCCGTCGTGAGCGAAACATGACTTCACTCTCATATCAAACTGATTCTTGAAGTCATTGATCGCCACTACAATAGTCATCGGTTGTCCTAATATATAGACATTCAATATATAAGTATGCGATCAATGATCAAAGCTCGTAATGACACTAACCGACAGCAACGATACGGGACACCTCCCTGGCCCATGGGCCTTTGCCCTCTTGGATCGACATCCAGCAGTCTATTTCGTCGCCCTGGAAGTTCATCTCAATCACATCCAGATCTGCCACCTATTTGTCAAATAAGTCTAATTATAATCTAATGATTAAATAAAGGCCACAATAAGAGCATTACAGGAATGGCGGGTCGAAAAGTGGCCGGTTTTTCGTAGGCTTCAAACCACTCGCATCGGAGCCGTTTGGCCTCATCCCAGGCCTCAATAATGTCAGTGCCGTATTGGATGACAATAGTGTTCTCGTAGTACTTGCCCTGAAGATCGGGTTTAGTGCCGCACTGATCGTACTTCACATTGAAAGTGGCGTGAGTTATGCTGGAGTGGGGCTTAATGTAGACACAACTGTCCTGACCATATGTGCCCTTCGACGAGATGATGCCCTGGAAGGGAGCGCTGAACTCAGCCCTCACTGTCATGTGCTCTTTGCCACAAATCACATCCAGTGCTGTAATCTTTGCCGCACCAAAAGGTGACGGCTCTTTAGCCCATACGGGCGCTGTTTCCTGCGCCCACTCCCGACTCGCATCACTCTGTCATTGATTGAAATACAAACTTATTATTACACTAATTATCACTAAAAAGAAGTCCAAAAAATTCATTGCAAACTAAACATTTAATTTAATTGTCGTCTAAATAAGCGTTTAATGTTATCATGAATTAAATAATCAGTTGTTTGCAACTCTTCATTATCTGTGCTTTTAGTTAATTGGGAATTATATAAAACAAAGCCTTGGGATTGGATTCAGTAATTAGAGAAAAGAGATGATGAGTACAAATGTTTTGTATCCTTTAGACAATGTATGCACTATTCGTGTAATACTTTTAATAATTGCATAAAAAGTTTGTTTAATGTATTCTTCTTTCGGAATAAATAATTATATTCAATGAATTCTGTGAATATGTTTCTACACTATAATTATGTCTTTACGTCCATTAAAATAAATTTAATATTATTTTTGTTCATTTGTTTTTTATTGTAACTAATTTCTGTTGAGTGTCTCATAAAAAATATGTAAATAAATATTTTATATAATCTAATTGTATTATGAATGCAAAAAAGCGTATAATTAATATTATAGTCATATTTATCATATTCAGTTTGCTTAACCATTTCTACGATGAATATGAAAGATTATAATTTAATTTTAAAAACGAATAAATAATAATAAATATTTATTGAATATTATTATAAATTATTTTATTGAATAAATGTTACCATCATTACAATTGTATACCAGTATAAGTTGATTGTAAATTAAACACAAAATGTAATTTAAGATAAGGACTAATAGAGGAATGGATTCAATGGAATTGATCTCAATTTCTGGGAAAATGAATAAATTTTCTCACAAGAAGTCGTAAGAAGTCGTATCCAATGAGTCCTATAAACCACTATTTGATAAGAACTAACACTTGAATCTATTATTACTAAAAGCATTCAAATGCCCAAAACATAAATGAATAATTTATTTGCACATAAAATTAAATTCAAATAGTGTTCAACATATCATACGATATCATCATATTATCAATTGTCGCTAATTGTGTGATAAAAATGTAGTAAAATTTATCCAAATATAACCCGAAGGCTTGTGTCAACAATCTCTTCCTTATACCATATGAGTAAATATTTCTAACAAATAAAATCTTTCAATACATTAAACCTAATAATATTTTTCGCTTATTTATAATTCAATCGATTTCATAACAACTTTAAACAACTGAGTTATGCCTTCAAGAGATGTAAACCTAAACTTTAAATGTTTATTAATTTGATTGATTAAAGGATATTGAATTACATTTATTTTAAATGCCTTAATGTTTGTGTAAGTATTATATCTTTCATTTCAATTCTAACCTTATTTTTGTTTAAAACTTATTTATATTCTCCATCTTTTATATCACAACATTTTATTATAATTTTAAACATTTATAGCATTAAACCGATTAAAGTTTTTAAGCAACTGTTGTTACCTTAAAGTGTTTATTGTTTTATTTTATTACAAAAACTATTACTTATAGTTATATTCATAGCTTATTTGAATTAAAAATAAAAATATTTAAAACTTTTAAAAAAGTAAATTAAGTAATAGTATAGCAATTGTTACGTCAAAAATGTTATAATAAGAGAACAGCAAATCATAAAAATATTATCTATTCTTAATTCTAGTTTATTTAATAAGAATATACTTTATATAAGTTATAGAAATTGATTTCATGATATATCGAAGCAATTGGTAAATGGAAATTTTAATTCTCACATAAATTATCGTAAATATCGTAAAACCAAATATTGTATGTATTTCTAATGTGAATTCAATTCAAACAATATTTATTTTTCAAAATATAACTGAATTAATTATAAATTAAAATTTTTGAATATTTTCATCAGTTTTTGGCTTTTATTATTAGTTTTTGAATTTTTATTTATTTCACGAATTGAGAGAAAAATATGAATTACAAGTAAAGAATATTTTAAGCACATATTTTGTTGACTGAATTGTTAATTAAAACATAACATTATATAACATCTGAACTCAACTAAGGAAGACATGTACTGATAAACTACTGTTGAGTTTTGAAAATATCTTATGCTTTATATGCCGTATATCTTAATATTTATGGCTTACTTTATACTAAAGTGTTGACAACTAATCCGTTTTGAATTATTTTCTAATAATTAACGGAAAACTGTTAGAACTGTTTCGACAAATGATATTATAATAACATCTAAACAAGTTTTGCAAACAAATTTCAAATTAACCATATTCAAGGAAAGCCATTTCAAATTTAAGCGCTTGCCTAATAAGTAAGATATTAGCTAATTGAATAAGATCGTTGATTTCAACTTTGTCACCTATGCTTAACTCCCACGTGTGCATAGATGACATTTCTTGACAGTTCTTCCCTGTGTTACTATAAAGCTCTACATTAACTAAGAATTGTTAACTGTACTACAATGACAATGCTCTTAACTTTAGTCCATAGACTTAACATTGCATTAATTTCTCATATAAGCATGATACAGATGTTGGGTTAGAGCAATTCGGTTTTATCAGACACTGTTTGTCTGCTGAATTGTGGTTAAGATATATTATTCTAACATAACTGACAAACATATAAATAATCCAAAAGTAGATCACAACATAAATTTAATCTTATTTTTTACAATTACTTCAAATTACATCATAAAGACTTTATATAAAAACTAATTAATCCTTATATAACTGTCATTTGAGTTATATTTTATTGAGTTATTTCTTAATACATATTTTTAATACAAAATTATCATTAATTCATTTCTTATCACAACTATTATTAGTTATTAAAATATAATTTGTTTTATAAGGAAATGAAAAATCAAAGAGTTATTTATGTCACTATTGATAAAATTCATATAATCTTTAATTTTGAAAAATAAAGTTTTATGAAAACATTTAAACATTGTTTTAAAATTGGACAATAGTTTAATTATCAGATATTTCTAACGTGTGTTTTAGGAAAAGATTGAAAAATGTTTATTTGTTGTTATAATAAAATGAGTCCACACTTAATAGACACATATAAACGCTAATCAAATGGCAATGACATTGACATTGAAATCTATATTCCTGTGTTATAACTATAAACATGTTATATAATTGTTGTTGTAATCAAAGCACTTATCAAAATGAGTCTAAATTAATGTTTTATTATATAATTTGCAAAAAGTTAGTAAACTTTAAACTAATTTAATATTGCGTTAGAAATGTTTGTCTTAAAAGCGGAACCGCATTGTATTGTATGACTTGAGAGACGCAACACTGAGTCCGTCAGTGATGACACTGAGAGACACAATTCATTGATAATTCAAAAATAGATTCAAAAACAAAGATAAATATTATGTTTTTACCAATAAGACAGAGTCGGCAATAAATTTCATCAAAGATTTACATTAAGGGTATAGGAATATATATTCAAAGGACAGTATGAGAAATATACGGTGCCCTAAATGGGTGAGCAAATATGCTCTAGTTTGATTAGGTTAGTGGACAGTTAGAATATATATAAATTTGCTTACCTTATTGGTAGAAATGAATAATAAATAGTTGATGGTAACAACTAATTGACATATTGTGGTTAAATCCCAAAACCTAACTCTTAGTTTCATAATCAGTCACTTCGTAAAGACGGTGGAAAAGATTCATTGAGTAATTCAATTAACGGCAACACTCGTCGAGTTGGGAATCATTGCAAACTATAGAGACTTGTTGTATGTCTTAGTCTTACATTACTGTATGAAATAAATATATCGTTTGTAAGACCATTAAAAAATTGCTGTTTTTCTATCTCTATAAACATAAACTTGTTTTGCAATATAGACCCGTCTATCGACTCGAGCCCTACTAAGGCATCCGCCTTCAGCTCATAAACTTCTTGCATTACAAGAGGATCTCTCGGTGTCTAACTGTAAGGCAGTTCAACAGTATATTCCCGGTTTTGAAACCACGATTGTTTAGCCGTGGGCTTAACTTTTTTTACCTACGGCTCCAAATATGTGAGCGAGCAATCGGGTCAAGAGCTTTTGAGACCCATTTCTTGTTTGCTTACAGTTATACTCATATTTATACACAAATACAATACTATATTCAATACTCTTATACACTCTGTTATACAATAATAGGC